GGGTTCAGGCTTTGCATTCAGGTGTGACGCTGGTTATGGTTGCTGCAAAACTACACATCTTAAGAAAAATGCTCTGGTTTGATCAGATATATAGCTCTGACACACAAAAAAGAAATGAAAGAAGAAAAAACAACTTGACTTTTATTTTTCTACCACCGTGGTGTACAGCTGCGTTCAAGTTCATGTGGTTCCCCCGTTTTAGTCTGTTCTCTTTTCTAATTTGTTGGTGCTTTGGATCTTTACCGTCCCGTCTCGGTTTCCTCCTGATTTCTCCTGTATAAGGAGCTGCTGACGTCGGCTCTGGTTCTGATATGTACTTAATACCAATGTGAAACTGTCTCTTTCCTTCTCATTTTGGACTCAGTGGAAGTGTGATGTTTACATGTACAGATTTTTGAGATTCTCTTTCTTTTTTGTTGTTGTCCTCATTTTGTTGTTGTTTTTATTTCAGATGCTTTCCCTTTTTCTTTTCAGGCACTGCTTAATTTGATCTGATTCCTTTATAGTGAAGGGAAATGGGACTTGCAGCAATTTCCATGCATTTAACAGTAAGACAAGACAGTGTTTTTGTCTGGGAGACCCCTATCACTGACCCCAATCACTTTCTTTAACTGCTGTCAACAGATACACAAATTGAAGAAGGCTTGTTGTAAATCAATCTTTTCCTCTGACCATTAGGGACAACATGGCCGTCTGTTCCTTAATGATTAAAAGCCATTATCACACCCTTCGTCGGGTGCAGACATCAAGTATTAGAGTACAAGAACAGCAGAGTGAAAACCTCAGGTAAATGATTGCTGTTTTATAGTTGAAAAAGAAGTCCTATGGGCAACCCATTTCCCACTTTAATACCATAATATATACAAAATAAATCTTTTTTTATATATTTATTGTGTTATATATATAACAGTGAATACTTTTTCAGTACATGTGGCTAAATATTTTAATTCTTTAGAAAAGTGTTGAAACATATGTGAAGAAACTGAAAGATTGAGTGAAAATGGGGAAAAAAATCATTTTTTTGTTGTTTAATGCAAACAGCATGGGCGGCTCCTAACATATCACTTTCATTAATGAACACCAATGATTTGAGATCAAGCTTTCTCAAGTGGGATGTCACTGCTAAAATGTCACGGACATGACATTGTGACTTTTTTTTTCTCCCAAGCTGTACGTCACAAAGCTAAATATACTAATAAAACAGTGTGCTATATATCAAACCCGGCAGCTGTATTTATTTTCCTCCTCCTAAGGAAAAAATATTTTGAATCAGCATCAGATGTATTTGTCTGTGCTTGTGTGTGGGTCAGGTTTTGCTAACTTAAGTAAAACCTGAAACCGCTTACATTGGTCATCATGATGAAAACGGCTTCATAAGAACTTAATCAGTAGTTCTCAGGCTCGTTGATCTTGATCCCCCATCGTCCATGACAATATTCAAAGACTAAGCCATTTCCTCTAGTGCTTCAATGTCAGTTTATTTAGGCATCTTGATTTTTATTATTATGGCCCACTTGGAAGGCTTTAATGCATGTGTGGTTCAGAAATGCAGGAATAGGGTTAAGTACTGGCCTGATATGGAGGGGCTGAGTAAATTATATGGCATATTATAAAATATATTATTTACTTTTACTGGCCTGATATGGGGGTTGAGTAAATTATATGACATATTATAAAATATATTGTTTACTTCACAATGTAATATACATCCCACAGTTTTAATCTAATTACCCTGAAAAAAAAAGTGTTTGCCTATGTCTGACCCGTATGGTTTGGCCAAGAGGGCCCCATATGTGTTTGCTCATTCAGAACTCATATAGAGGTTACCTATGTGGGTACCACCTTTCGCCCACGTAGGCAGCCTATATGGGACTGGTTGTGTTTGCCTATGTCTGACCCATATTGCTGGTCAGCAGGCTGGTTTTAGAGGGGTTTTGGCCACTTTCTTTGCTGGTCAGGCTGGGAGACCAGCTACTTCCAACTTAAACCAGCTAAGACCAGCTCAGGGTGGTTTTAGCTGGGGGGGGGTCAGCTGGGTATATACTCTAGAGCGATATAACTCCGCATAGAAGTCGCGTCAAGGTGGCAATTTTACAGTGTGTTTACTTCACAAAGATGCTCAGAAAAGATTCGACCTAAATATATTTAGGTGGGAAACAATTTTGGTTACTGGTTCGGGTACATGAAGACGTTTTTGCACCAGTCCAGCTGCTTTTCTGTCATTCTAAAGTTTTTAGAACAGAGCTCTATTATAGCATCTCCTTCTTTCATTTTATGTGACGCCAAAATATATTTAGTGAGCGATTTATAGCTAATATACATCTCCAGTAACCTCGGTAACCACTATTCTTTCTAAATGACAGAAACCTATAAATTTTGCAGAAAATGTTTTAGCTCAGAATACACAAAATTAGAAAACCATTAAGAGATAAAGATCTAAACTGCCCAAAATAATCTTTTTTTTAATTTTTTTTATTGCAAGTATAAACACTTAACTTCAACAATTAATGTAACATTGGATGACATTATGAATACAGAAATTATATAGGAAGACAAAGAAGAAAAAAATAAATAAGAATACATAGATAAAACAACAAATACAGAGGTAGTAAATCAAAATTATGTACCATTCAGCAGATCATTATACAGTTTCACAAATTTGACACTTTTTTTGGTATTAATATTTTTTAGTGATATAATTAAGTAGTTAAAGTCACAAAGAAAATTATGTAATTTTGGAGATGTTGAAGAAAATTTACATTTATGAATATAATATTTTCCCAATAAAATAAATACAT